GTGTGTGTGTGTGTGTGTGTGTGTGTGTGTGTGGTGTATGTGTGTGTGTGTGTGTTGGGCTCAAATGAGTAAAGTCAGTTCTATTTTCTCCTCCTCCCTGGGTGCCAAAACTCTGATCTTTTCAGCTCCCTGCCCCTGCCCAAGGAGCCTTGTGTGCCTCCCTGCCCCCACTCCCTCCCTCCTTGGCCCCTCACTGGGCTGGGAAACAGGATGCTTTCACCTTTGCTTTGACCTGAGACACTCTTCATGAAAGGAAGTACAGTAGCCACTTGCTGGAAGAGCTAGGGACATACATACATGCATGCATGCATGCACATATACACACACATATATACACATACATACATATATAGAGAATTTGATTTGGATTTGTCTTGTGGGCTGAATGTGTGTGTGTGTCAGAGGTGATGTGGGGGAGAGGGGGGAAATGGGATCTCCAGGACAGTATATGGACAAAGTGCAGTCCCTGTCCTCATAAAAGGCTGAGATAGTTGAAGGGCTTTCCTCTTGGGGACAGTACAGCCACCGGAGCTTTCTCCTTTTTTTCCAAGACAGTAAATACCAAAGGGTGCAGGGCAGGTGGAAATGGGGATGCCACCAAGGGAAGGAGGCATTACCTGTTTGACATCGTGTCCAGTTTTGGCGCTTGTCTCAACAAACATGACATTCATTTCCTTGGCTCTTTGTTTTCCCTCCTCTGACGTTACTTGCCTGGATGGACCAGAGAGGGATGGGCTCAGATAGGGAGGTAGGGAAGATCCCTTTTGCCCCAGGAACAACATTCTCCAAGATAGCCCCTAAGAGAGGGCCCATAGATTTATCTCAGCAGGGAGTCTGTAAGGCAGTCCCCTAAACCAGCTCTCCCTCTTTCTCAGCTTACCTTGGGCTAAGAGCCCCAGAGTCACTAGCCTCAAAACTGTGGCTCCTGCATACTGGCAACTCTTCCCTGCTCCCCTCCGCCCAGCACAGCTGGTCCGCCTAGAGCCCAGGCACTAGAGGGCCCATGAGAGGCCCTAGGTCTCTACCCCCAGACTCTGCCCTTTAGTCTCTTACCTCTTGTGGCTCAGGTCATTCTTGTTCCCTACCAACTTGATGATGATGTCACCACCTCGTTCTGCCCGAACATCATCCATCCACTTGCTTGTCTGATAGAAGGTGTTGAGATCTATAGAGAAAAGGTATGGGGAGGCCAAGATTCTCAGGAGAAGACTCTCCTCCCATCCCTTTTCCCACTTTCCATCCCAGGAACTCATGAAATCCCAGAGTACCCACGTGTAATATCATAAACAATAACAGCAGCAGTGGAATCCCGGGTGGAGCTGGGATCGAGGCTTTGGGAACGCTCCTGGTCCGCAGTGTCCCAGAGCTGCAGCCTGACCTGCAGAGAACATTTACAGATTCAGTGCCATACCAATCAAGCTCTCACAAGGTCAACCACCTTACCCAACTAGAAAACCAACATTCATTTGGAGGAACAAAAGATCTAGCATGTCAAGGGAAATAATGTATAAAGTAGGGACAAAGTGGACCTTTTAGTGCCAGGTCTCCAACTTAATTGAAGAATAGCCATAAAAATGATTTGGTGCTGGTTAAACATTTTTTAAAGTGGATCAGTGGAACACATTAGATAAGCCAGACCCGGAAATAATCTAACCCAGTGTTTGTTAAATCTGGGAACACAAACTACTGGGGTGATGATTCTGTACCCAACAAGAATGACTGGGAAAACCGTCAAACAATTTGGCAGAAATTAAGTTTAGACCAGTATCTCGATATATACAACAAAAAACTCCCAATGAATACTGGACCTAAGTATAAAAGGTGATACCACTTTACAATTAGAGGAGAATAGGAGGCATCTTGTGCAACTACGGCTTGGAGGAGAATTCTTAACCAAGAAAGAAATTGAGGTGATCAAAAAAGGTAAGATAAACGACTTCAATGACAATCTTAAAGGCTTTTGTTTGAACAGAATGCAGCTAGGAAGGAATACTGTCATGGGGGGGAGGATCTCTGCATCAAATATCTCTGACCAAAGCTTGATATTCAAGATGTATGGGGGATTGACAAATCTATTAGACTCTGTTGGAACAGGCTGTATTGAAACGCTATCCATAAGCCTTCGGAACTGGAGAAGTCAGGAAACTCATGGCATGGAGAGGTAGAAAGTTGAGGGTCTGAGGCTACTGTCTTATAATGAAAAGAATACTGCATTTAGAACCAGGAAACCTGGTGTGCTGTGTAACACTGGGCAAGTTCTTCCCCTTTCTGGGCCTCAGGTTTTTCATTGTACCATGAAAGAGTTGGCCTAGATAACAAGACAGTCTTAAGTTAGTCTACCTCTCAAACTTTTGATCACTTACTGAACGATCCTCCAGGTACATGGAGGATCGTTTTTTTTTTTTGAGGGGGAGAGAGAGAGAGAGAGAGAGAGAGAGGGAGGGAGGGAGAGAGGGAGGGAGAGAGAGATAGAGAGAGAGAGAGAGAGTTAGAACTAGGAGTACCCGGGGACCTCTCCCCCAAAGCACCCCAAAGGGAGGGCCAGCTAGCTGCTAAGACCTGGAAGTCTCCTTCAAGCCCCCATGGCTACCTTGAAGGGGTCCAAGAGGGGAAGGGGCCAGCTCCTCCTGAGCAGGTATTCTCTCACCTGGTAGGTGTTGTGAAGCTGTCATACACGAATCCGGTGATGAGTGAAGTCTTCCCTACTGTTGGCGAGAGAAGCAGCTGGGCTGTGTGGGGGGGAGACGATGACTCTCCCCTCCTCTGCTCCCTCACTCTTTGCCCCAATCCTTTCCACTGTTCCAGTCCTTCACCCTTCTCCCTCCCCGCCCCCTGGCTGCCCCGGCCATCGCTGCCCCCACCCCTGGCTGTCCCAGCCACCGCTGTCCCCCTCCCCGCCCCCTGGCTGCCCCAGCCATTGCTGCCCCCACCCCTGGCTGTCCCCCTCCC